TCATATCTTTTTCAGTAAAAGAAGGCATTCTGAATTGATTGGCGTTAGTTTGAAATTAATTGGAATTAAATTGGTAGAGTTGTGACTGTTTAAAGTATATATAAATTGGGTGGCTGGGTTAAAAGTGAGGTGGCCGGTCTGTGGGGGTGGCCAGTCTTTGGGTGACGGACGTTAGTCGACAATCCAGTCAAGTTAAGGTAGTGAATGGGAGGAGTGGAGGACCGTACAGTGATAAAGGGAAAGGCAGACTGTAGGAGGAAAATGAAATGGGAATAGTAATAGGCAGAAGAGGAGGGAAAGGAAAGAGAGTTTAGGTCAAGGTAAGGTTAGGTAAGTTTAATATTATTATTTTGCTCGACAGAGCCCAGTGAGTGAGTGAGTGAGTGACTGGAAAGGGAAGTGCTACAGTACCTATGAACTATCTCACCTCACCTACTTGGCCTGGGCTGGCTAGGAGGGATGGATGTACTAGCAAACAACCAACCGAAACTACCGCAATGGGGCGAATGAGAAGAGAGGACGAATAAGGTGTGAACGCAGATTACAGAAAGCTATTAGCTCTACCGGTAGTAGTAGGCCAAGTTAGTAGTAGGTACCTGCCAACGTGAGGTTGGGAGGTATATGGATCCGTACTAAACGTAAAAGCACATGTGTGTCAAATCAAACCTCACATCACATCAGGTAGTTGTGCAGCCAGGTACGTGCGCCAAAATATGAGGAAAGGTACTAGAAGTATCTTTTCTTCTCCCTAGGTCGGTTGGTACGATCCTTTTCTCTCCTCTTTGCTAACTTATTTCCCGTCTCAGCTGCTTTCGCGCGCTTTGTTTCCGCTAGATCCTCGTGGACCCTTGCACCGATCGACCACTCACAGAGGCTGGACAGGTATCTAGTCGTAGCTTGTCCCGAGAAAGTACCTAGAGGCTAAGGAATAAGAATTGAGTTTCGACAGCAATTGAAGCTACCTCATCACTTGAGAAACCAAGTGTGATAGTAACTACGTGACCATAGATCTCTCGTTTTCTTGCCAACCTGGGCAGGTATCGAGGAAATTCCCATGTCCAATCAAGCACGTGTCTGTCATATGCTACATACAGACCTACATACATCGCCTGATCAATTACATTACACTGCTACATAAGTCCTAGGCATTTTCATTCAATCTCCACTTGTTGGTTCTGCTTTCACTTCTCCATTATAAAAAGGTACCCAGCGTCCGGTACCGAACCATGCACGAAGCGAGTAAAACGTAAAACTCGACAGGCCACCCCCTGCTTCCGGTGCCTTTTTTGCTCTAGTGCCTTATCACGTGCGAGGAAACTATACGCGGTGACTCCAGCATTAAAGCGAACGAGGAAGGAGAGAAAATCGAAATCACAAGTCAGCCTCATCATTAACGTTCAAAGCATTTATCGAAGAGTTTTTTTTTGTGGTTCCCCCTGAGAAGATCCGAGATTGATGAGCTCAACAAGACTCCGTTCTAAGCAACACGCATACGCGACCCTGTCGTTGTTATTTACCCGCAGGTTATACCTTGGTACTAATCAGTTATCTTAAGTCCATACCATTGCACCAAATTACACATAGTCTCGAGCCCGAAACGGATATATGGGGACGGTAATAATGTTCGGCTGTGCGCTTCCTTATTCTCCTGCGGCCAACTTGGTAGCGGTAGCCCAGCGTAGTACGTACATTAGTATAGCTCTATAACAAATATACGAGCAGCTGCCCTGGTCGTGTTTCCTGAGCTCAATTGTCGTGGTTGGTTGGCTACATTACGTGCGATTTGGCTCCCTCCAATTCCATCCCGCCACCCTTCACCCTCACTCGATCCATCGAGAGTTCTCGCAGCACAACACTTTGTCACGACAAGATAAAAGCCAGCAACGCCAGCTGACACCGTCCAATGAATTTGGCACTGTAGTATATCGTCTCCACGCCCCCTTGATCCTGTGGCGCCGCGTCCCATGCTGACACGATAGTGTTTGTTAAGAAATACCTATCTAGACGGGAGTATCAACTAAGCTAAATGTTCTTATGTATTCATGCATACTACGTTGTACTTCCTTGTCGATATCGCATATACATATTGTTGCCTGTCCCGTGTGCGGCACATGTTCCTTAGTTGGTTGTGATCTCATCCTTCACAGTATTGATTATGTACATATTACTCTTAGTTAGTCCCTGGATATAACCTGGTTTTCATTATCATCGCCGATAGGCTTCGGAGACGGCCGAGATGGGAGGTGGGGAATTAGATATCCATTCGTCCAGTGACATGACCTCTCCACTAACATGCTCTGCCAAGCTACTACGAATATCAATCCGAAAGTTTCTTACCGACACGAGACTTCATTCTCACCAATCCCAACTCGGTATAATACCACGTATCGCTCAGCTTCAGCCTATGTATCATAGGCCTATCTGGCCGACTATCAGATCAGACCATGCCAGCAATCTTGTAGTCCAAGCACCATGATACAAACGAAACTCAATCAATGGAAAACGTTGCAAGTATAGCTTCAATAATATATAAACTACCTATATGATTATATGCAAATCTCGCAACAACTACATGTCGTTGTCCATCCTGGCCATCAAGGTTCCCCCTATTAACAAGCGTCTCTTGCTTCCCCTAGGCCTTCCATTTGCCCGTCGGGTTTCGTTATCCCCAGTTGTGGCCATCCAGGCTGGTCACCCCTATACAGTCCATTAAAAACGCCGCGCAATGTAAAGATTCTAAAAGCAAAACAGCCCAATGTTTCGTGTCGCTTTACAATAGCGCCATGAACTGCGCGCCACGCGCTGAATCAAAACAGAAGAAAATGAAGTCTCGTTAATGGCGTCAAAGTTGTTCTGGTGGTCAGAGCGTTTAGTACTTGGCCGAGTATCGTGCCACGCCTGGCGAGTAAGGCAGATCATAGGAGCTGGATTGAGCATAGGGATCCTCCGAAAAGACAGTCGCCCTTCGGTCTTCCTCTGGCAGCAGCTCCTTGACCTCCCAGTTGTTCATCCTTGTGCCAACTGAAAACTCAAGATCTTCCTTGGTGATCGAATCCCAGTACTGTTAAAATATTAATAACTAACCGCAGAGGTTCCGAATCATATTTGACATACCTTGTAAACCATCATAACGCCCAGCAAATTGCAAACTGTCGCGAGGAACAGGCCGTCAAGATAATGGCTGATAGCGATACAGATCTTCGAGCTGAAAGCGTAGAGAAGGACCTGACCAGCCACAAAAAAGAAGATACCAAACGCAATATCGCCGAGAGGCCATCGGTCCTGCAGTGTCCTAGTCACAAGCAGAATTTGCATGGCCACGTACACGAAAAGCTGGACGGCATTCAAGAGATAGAGAACAACGAACAGTCCAACGGTGTTGGTAGGTCCAAGTCCAGCCCAGCTCTTGAAAGTTGCGAGAGAAACGAGGAAGCTGATGGCGAAAGCAGCCAGAGAACTGATGCGCATCATCCATACTGACAGAGGTGTTCCATCTTCATACAGTTGGAATCCAACAAAGCCATTGATCAAAAGACATGTGATAACTGCACTGCTAAGTCCATTCTGCACACTGACAAAGTACGGATAAGGGTCGCTTCCCGGAGGTGCAACACCAGCGTCGATAATGAGAGACATAGCAGTGAGAAGCATATAGAGGTAGAAGAAGCTGAGAATCTCCTTGCGACCAACAGCGGTGAACTTGCTACGGACGTGGAGAATCATGATGACGGTCATAATGAGCGCAACAATGTGCATCACCGACGCAGCGCCTTCGAAAATGATGGTGTTGGCAAGTTCGATATTGCGTGCATAGCATTCTGGCTCAATACCGGTACGGCCGGTGGCTTGGAGTGTAGGTCCAACGGAAGCGCATAGTGGCAGAGGTGCCGTCTCACAGATCGAGGTGAAGTCGCCGAAGCCAGACATGATGGGCGAGTAGAGATCACTGCACGGTTGTTGTTGCAGGAATTACGTAGATCCAAAAGTGAGTGAGAGTGCGGGGAACGGTGAATCGAATATTGCGATAACGAGTGGCAGAGCGATTGTCGTCGAGAAGATCGTTTATGTCGTCGTATCGATGTCGTCGAGTCGTCCAAACCCCTCGGCGCGATAATTAGTCGCTGACCTAACCTTTCAATCGTCGTCGGGGTTCGAGGGCGAATATTAGGAGATATCCCCAACTACAAGGGGCTCAAACTTCGATCGGAATGCAATCACAACCCTTTACTGCGTAAAAAGGGGAGTGTTTCGCTTGGTCGGGTAGCAAATGTCTCGTCCTTGACCGTTGGCTCGTCGGCGCCCCCTTTCTTCGACCTAGCGGCTAAAGAACCAAACTTGAAAACGAGAGAAGAGACAAGAAAACCGGTCGGATCGAAAACACCAAGAACGAAACAGATGCGATGCGACGCGACGACTACGATGGTTTAATTCGGGGTATCGAAGCGAATGTGTTGCATGCCTCTGCTGCGCTTTAGGCTCAGGCGAGAGATGAGTGAAGGTCAGAAGAGACAAAGTGGAGCGAGCGGAGGATCTCGTTGCTGTGCCGTTGTTGTGGGAAAGTGGCAGAGGTGGGGAAGTAAGGCGTTAAAAGTGGCTGATGTGTTATATGATTGGTCCGTTTCTTGGCGTTGCTGTAGGGAGCGCATCGTGCCCTGTTTGCCAATGATATACCCCCTGGAAATGTGTAACAGAACCATGGTCAAGACCTATAATTTCAGAGGCAGAGGCAGAGGCAGAGGATGACCTTGGCTACATTATCAGATTAAAACCTTCTAATTGACAAGGTTTCAGCAATACTGCTTCCTGGAAAGTTTTCCATGTACTTCTGCCGAAGCTGGGTTTCCCGAGATATCACCACTTCTGTTTGGTGCATACCCTAGAGCAAAACCTATATACTGAATCATATTCTAGCCCCTAACAAGTCTGCGGCGGCATAGTTAGGTTATACGGTGTAGTCAGATTTAAAAAGACGAGACTCAATCGTCGGAGAGTTTATGTTGCTGCAGTTAAGTGGCTGGCTATCGCTTGATCCAATGACATGTTTTCAAAACCACTTCAGAAAAGCCAAAGTGTAAATTGTATGTCATGACAGGAGCACCTAACAATCGCATAAGTGCCAGCGAGTAAAACCATACTCGGGCACACCATAGTCCCACACCGTCGAGTCACATAGAACTTATAAGCGCACATGTTGTCTCACCATAATGCCACCGATGAACAGGTAGGTTCCAGGCACATCCACGACATCAGAAACATGATCCTGAGTAAAGTGCTCATGGTGTATTGCAAACTGTGGTGTATGAGCACGGGGTTGGCGCTTTTGGCAGAACCCTCTGTTGATTGTGATCTATTCTAAGAGTCATAACTGACGTCCTGCGCGTCCGTCTATATACAGGCGATGTTGACGCCGACGTCATGCACAGAAATCCGATGCTGGATGAACGCTGCGATATGATGAGCTTTCCGTTAAGAAGCCCGATACATCGTGAAACATGCTTCATTGCCAACCTATATGGCCTCGCAGCATTCATCGCTTTAAAAAAAAACAAGCCAAACTCCAAGCCAAATGCGACCGAAAGCCCTGATGTCCTGATCCATTTCCTTATGTAGTCCTATCCGGGAGACTGTTGAACCCTGGCCTATTTCTTTCCTTCCAAACGCCTATGCCATGCGATGCTGTGATGCAAATCCGACCCCAAAAATCTAACTTCATAAAAACAAGGATGCAATGATCCGTGAACAAAAATGCGAATTATACTTCAGATGCCGAGTTGAAATGGCCTCAGAGCTGAGGCTTACGCCGTGTGGTGTGGTGAGATTCATGGACGATCGCAGGGTAACCCTGCCATCCCTAAGACGGGTAGTGTCCCTGAGCGAGTCCGTGAGGGGGGAGGTTCTGCGGGTGACTGCGGTTATAGACCATAAATTCTGGGACAATGCCAGTTCGCAGGTCGTTTCGTCGTCCCAGTGGCTGATAGTGCATCTGTGTCGGGGGAACAGGCACAGCGAGGTGATATTGCTCAAGTGAGGCCGAAGGTGGGGGACACAAAAGCGTATTAACATGGCGCACAGGTTTGTACGGACTAGGTCGCTGTTGCAGGAAGACACTCGGCGAGTTAGAAATGGGAGTGTGCACCATAGGAGTGTGAACAGCCGATGCTGGACCGTATGCCTCAGCTAGAGGCGATGAGTTGAAGGGACCCAGACGTCCAGGACTGTGCTGCTTGTTTGGTGTACCGAAGTTAACAGGTGCCTGAGTAGGAAAGCCAGCTTGCGCCATGGTGACACCCGTTGTTGCGGGAAGCGATTGCTTCTGTACCATAGCGGCGGGGCCTGATGGGTAGACTGTTGACATGGCTCGCATACCGGTCTGCAATGGAGGAAGTGAGACGTGAACAGGCTGGGCAACCTGCTGTGTAGGCTGAGGATACCCGTTGATATTGACATTGCCGTTGTTGAAGGGTGTCAATGTAGGCTGGGTTTGAGGCTGCATCTGGGGTTGTCCGGTCATGACAGTAAGATGAGGGACAGGCAGCCTCGCCGGCTCAATGATTCCATTGGATCGTGGGTTGACAGCTTGAACCATAGCGGCAGCTGGAGCTCGTCCAGGAGGAACAAGTCGCTTCGCGGGGTGTTCCATAATCTCTTCCTCGGGACTTCGCTTCCGTGAGACAGGGAACTGCAGGTTGGGCTTGGTAGCCAATGGAGAGACGGTGTTCGAGTGGTATGCAGACCAGTTCTGGGAGTGACTCGAGGTAGGTGAGTAGTTGGTCGTTGTAACAGCCGGAGTAGGGAGATTGGCGGTGGGCTGCATCATACCCGTCGGTGAAGCGACAGGTGAGTGAAGAGACTTATTTGTTGGTGAAGGAATATGAATCGGGGATGCTGGCAATCGCACAGCTCGCTCGTAGTACTCGTGGAAGCAGGAAAGCTTGTCCAACCAGCCCTCCCATTGTTCCTTTGTAGCAACCAAATTGTATCGCATGTTGCTCAGAAACTCCACCTCCATGACATGGATCTCCTGCACATTGAAGCATGACACTTCGGCCCAGGTCTTGTTCGTGTAGGTGTTATCATCCAAGACTGTGACAAGGTCAGTTGATGTCTGACACCCATGTTAACTCTTCACTTACATTTGTTCCCGAGCATGAGGGCCACAGTCAACAATCGATATTCACTGCCGGCACGACCCTTGATTTGAGGAGTTGACATCTTCAATCGGTAGATGAATAACAATGCCAATAGGATGACATTTTGGGTCACCTGTGTCGTCGACAAAACGCTGTACACCCACTTCCGAAATTGGTCGTAGGGTTTGGCGAGAGACGGTAACCGAGGGATGAGGGCATTGGGGCCTCTAACACGGATCGACTCGGCCTGCTTGAGTTCCTCAATAGATTCGAACCAGAACAAGCAAGTCATCTATTCCCGTTAGCAAATTTGAGAATTCCACGACATGTGTTTGAGATCGCATACCTGAGCAGCGAAATCGGCGAGGTTTCCACCTGAAGGACTGATGCACTTGGGGATTTGCAGGCTATGATAGACAAGCGACTCGGACTCGTCCTTGCTACCTGACGCAGTCGATGCAGGCGTTGAAGGCCTGACGGTCTGTCCCACGGCCTGCGACTCTGCTGAGATTGATCCATTTCGTTGTTGAGAGACTTGGGAAGTGGGATGTAAATCAAGCTGAGGTTGTGTCGATTGCTCATGTTGGTAGTAATGGTTATATGTGGTTTGTGGTTGCGGTTGTTGTTGCTGCTGCTGCTGCTGCTGCTGGTCTTGTTGCTGTGTGGGATATCTGTAGTATTGAGATGCTCTCGCATCGGTTACAGGAGCTGCAGGTCGGGCAGTTTGAGGCGCTGCAGCAGGATAGTTGTGAATAGCATGATTCTCCCATGAAGCCAGCTGGGGCTGAAAGACAGTGCTCATTTCGTCAGTCGGGGGAGTCCTAAGCCCGTTTCGCGATGACGGAGTGTTATCGAATCGAGAGTGCAGCTTTGGCAGTTGTATACTTGAAGGAAAGCTAGGTTCCCGGCTGCCTGAGCCGTGGGGAGGTGAAGGAGGAAAGTTCAAGGCCCCAAGCAATGTACCAGCCGACATGGAGACCTATGCGTTTCGCCTGCTTGCTGTTGGGCGAGGCAATAGGCGCAATCGCCAAATTCGAGGTTAACCCGGGGTTGGGTATGTCGTGAAAGCTTCACTCTCAAAGCAAGCCCCACTGCGTCACTGCCTGTTGACCTATTGTGCCGGCAAAAGAACAATTGACTTTGCCCCGCCGAAGCTTTCATTCGCTTTATATTGAGAGCCCGGAGATAAAATCGGCGAATGAGTGTGTCGAGAATAATGTGGTCTATAGATACTCTAGGAGGGCCAATGCCATGTTCGACTGGCACAGACTGGCAATGTACTCGCAGTAGACCGGCTCAAAGCGAAGCAATTCGGCGGAGATCGTTCGTTTCCTGGATGGCAGAGTGATTGTTCGTTTATGAGATCGGACGGCGAGGACAAAGCTACTTGGAAGATAGCTAGTATAAGCTTGCTGCGGCTGGAGAGCAGTTGTATTCGTTTTGAAGATGGATGTTGAGGTTGAGTATGGTCTTGGAGGAGGACTCCCAGGTTGGGAAGTTTGGATAGGTAGGTAGCTAGGAAGGAAAAGAAGAGAGAGGAAATAGGAACAGGAACAGGAAAAGGAAAGAAGAAAAAGAAGCAACAACGGAATGGGCTCAGTCAGTCCATGGCTGGTGGTTGTGTGCATGTATGTACAGACAGTCCTGTAAGGTAGTTGACTTCCATTCACTTGGATTAGACTTGGTAGTCTCGTCGTTCGCCAAGCAAGTGTGGTTCTCTCTCCTAGACGCAGCCCAGTATAGTATAGTGCACTTAGCGCAGAGTACCTACTGTACCTAGCGCAGGGAGTAGAAAGTAGGGGTGTCCGTCCCCAGTTCAAACCCAGACCCAGCCAGCCCAGGGCAGTCCCAGTAAGGTGGAGCCCCTGCTCTCCCACTGATAGCCCCATTAAAGTACTTGATCTCACCACTGGACCGACTAAGGTTTAGAAGTACCATCCTTGGAGGTGATGCCCTGGATCAGACTCAGACTCAATGGGGTCATGGGCTGCCGTTCCGTTGACCGAGAGTAAGTACATTTGTATGTACTCTTTCGGTCATTCACTCTCACTCACTCACTCATTCACTCATTCATATTCTCAGACCTCAGACTCAGACAAGACATTGCACACGCACACGCGCCCGGCCGTCCCTAGGCCAGGTTGCGCTCCGTGTCCTGTGGTACTAGCCGGGCATGTATGGCTATACTTGTTGGTTCTCAGACAAACCCATACAAAGCCCGGTACCATCGACATGACAATCCTGTGTCGGCCATGTCGCGAGCCTCTGCTAGACCTGCTACTACGGACTAGACCAGGGCCATCGTGGCGCTCTCCAGCTGACACCGCACCCAGCGACAACCCCGGTATCCGTGAGGTGAGGTGAGGTGCTTTGCCTTGTGTTAGCTGCTATTATTACGGCTGCCACACGCCCCCATGGCCCAAAAGCCACACGCCCCTCACTCGCCGCTAAAACTCTCAAGTTTCCTCCACTCCTCTTCAAGCTCTATTGGACCCAAGTCCGCTAGATAGCGGAGTCCTGGGTGCTGGAACCTACCATTCATCAACTGCATTCTAAGCCCCCAGCTCAATTGTTAATGGAGCATCAAATTCGTTCAAAGTCGCCCCTGGAACGCCCTAGGGGTCGCCCGGTCGGTGCCGTGCTCGACGCTGTGGGCGGGCCTGACGGGGGCCTTGTAAGCGGCGGCGGGACCTTGCTCAAGGGATACTTGCGGTATTGGTTTTGATATTGAGATGGGGATTGAATGGAAATGGAAATGATGAGAATGAGACTTGTAGCGAAACCTGCTCAGCCAGGAGGGACATCAACAAAGGCGGCTGATGAGTGCGTCGTTCCTGAAAGCCTTGTGAGATTGACCTGCACACCTTTATGCACATGTTGGATTCCTTCCAACCCATCCCATGAAGCCTGGGGCTTGTATCCGTATGCGAGATCCTTGATATGAAAAGATGGAGGTTTCGACAAACACAACCATTGTGGAGTGTCTTCCGAATCATCAATGAAAGTTCATTGGGCACACGTCGATTTAGGACTGGTACAAAGCTTCTCATCCATCGGCCCTGTACGGATACAGTAAGTTACAGTGCTGTTGTTCTATGTACTGTAATAATTTGTGTGGTGGACAGTCATATCGACCTGAGTTCAACTCAGCATTTCCCTCTTATTCATTGTGTTGCATGCTCGCTTGTCCGACAAGTCCTGAGCCATCCAAACAGATGGTGTGTCGGAACCTTCACTTATTTGTACTTACCCAACCCGCAACAGTGGTGCAACTCCATCTTTGAAATGCTGCTTGCCTCATGAGTTGTCCGTCAATCATGAGCTTGAACCCATGAGGAGCCATGAGCCATGCCACCGCGCTTACTCCACTGCTATTCCCTGCTTGACCTTTTCAGGAACGTGAATGCGTGAGTGTAGGCCGCGTGTAAATAATCACCGGGTTCCCTGCCCCATTCATTGATGATACCGCTCTGTTCTCATTCACTGCTATGTTGTGTTATGCTGTGCAGCTCGTGCAGTGATCACCTTTGGCTTTGGTTAGTTTGGGGTCGGCTAGCCGTGTTTTTAATATATTGAGGCGGCAACCATCGTTAGATTGCTAGACAAGTTCAGTCATGGTTCAGGAGAAGAAACGCACCAGAACTTCCGGCACGGCATGGCTGAGAAAGGAACGAAAATGGTCCCAGCTTAAGCCCGAGGGCAAGAGCAATAGCAATGAATCAAACAAAGTTGTCATGTACCCCCACAACAAGGGACAAGTCCATTCCCTTCCAAATGGGATCAACACCCATTCGTTGAGAGGCGCCGCAAATCTGTGCCGCTCGTCGAACTATTAACGGCTAAAGTAATTTTCTGCATCTTTGTCACTCAACATGCGAGCGCGAGCACCGTACTTTAGATATGAGCCTTTTGCTTCATCCCTGAGTCCTCATGACTTTCTGAGACACTGCAATGAGCATATTGGGATTACGGGTGTACTTGTTCTTTGGTGGTGTAGCGTTCGTAATACTCTGTATTGTATACGGACGCAGTTGGTGGGCCTGCTGAGCCAGCGTCCCTTCGGCAGGCATATTAGCTCTCCCGGATCCTTGGTATGGCGCCGAGTCGTTTTCTACAGTGCTGGACTGAAATTCTTTCCAAGTGGAACAAGGATATTGAATCCGTCTTATCGACCATTGAATGAAATACGTAGTAGCACGTAGTTAGAAGCCACCGTCTGGCCCCATCCGATAACCTGGCATTGAACGGTGGGAATCCCTGCCGTTGCGGGCATTTCACCCTCGCCTTGAGGTGCTGGACAGCGCCATGAACGGAGCCCAGCCCGTCATCACACTTCCAACAAAGAGACTAGGGACGATGATCCAAAAACTCAACCGGGGCAACCCAGAAGTGACCAGTTAATTGTTGACGGCACCGAATCTGCATCTCGCAAACCTCGAGCTGTGTCAGCCAGCCCAAGACAATACCGGCACGTCCGCGCGCCAAGTAGTTGAGTTAACTTGTAGCACTAATAATCGACACATGGTCCGGTGTCGGTTTGGATGCTCTCTGACAAAGCCCTTGTCAACTTGTTGCAAGCATGTCTGTCTGTTCTCAGATCGTCCTTTCCATTGAAGGGCGCCTGATTTTGCCGAGACCTAAATGCAGTATGTACAGAGGTGACAGAAAAAGTCGTCGTCCATGCCCTGTGGTGCAAGAGGCTTATTGCCGTTAGGAAGTAAGTCAATTGTGCACAAGCCTGTCACTGCATTCCGTTGGCTGCAACCTTGCTTGGCCAAAAACAACTGGCGTGCCCAACAGGCGCCAAAGAGACATGGACAAACCTTGGTAGCGGGCTGCGAGAATCAAAATTGGCGTGTCTAATTTCGTACAAGGAGGTATGTAAGAAGACGGTTCAGTAGCCAGCTTGATTGATTGCTGCGTACCGGGTACATGCATATAGACGTAAGTAGCCTTGTTGTGTAATTCGTGATGGAGCCGAGGATTTTTCTGCTTGTGTTGTGGCCAAGACTCTTGCGATGTTGTCTTATAATCTTGCCAGTCAAAAGAATGCAAAATCGATTGATATTTTCAGAGGAATCTTTTGATATGACATCGGCCAGGCTGGCAATGGATCATCATGCAGGTCATTCGTCAACACTATGATGGCGTTCACCATCGTATTCTCGACCCTAAGTACGGGCCCTTCCCAATTGTGAATATATGCAAGTCCAGGCCACTTACTCGCAGTAGAGGAAGTTCCCATACACACATCGCCAATGAGAGCCCCAGTGGCAAGGGAATGAGTGACATGTCTCGTCTCTCTTTACTTTTTTCTTAGTAGCCGAAAGCTCAAGATGCTATCTCCGACAGCTCGGACAAGATGTGCAGTGCATACAAACCTGTAACGCATAAATCATTTGTAGCGAGACCGGCTTACCTGATCAGCGATAGCTGGCGAAATCGAGTACGTACGCATGTGGGCTTGGTACAAAAAGTTGGTTGTATCCCGACGCGTGCCTGCGGTCGCCTCGTATGAAGAGCAAAACCATGCCGCCGCAGCCTACTTTTCTCGTATGTACGTGGGCGCAAAGCTCGCGAAGAGGATGGTGAAGTGGGTGCTGTGATGACCACTTGAGTACATGCGGATAATCAATCTAGAAAATGAACGAATCAGTACGGTACAGAAGCCAGCCAACCATAGTGAGTCACTTATGACAGGGAAACTAACCTTGGAGATTACCCTTGCTTTCCAATTTTCTCACTTTGGCGCACAGTAGCAGTAGGGACTTCGGCGCAGGGATGATTGGTTGGATGTTTGAAGGAGTGAATCAATCCATGTAATGGATACATACATCATGAGACAGAGACAGGCAGACAACCAAGCGGATGTATGTCAGATTTTCAAAATGTAAGATCATTTAGTTGGAGGACGATGAATTCAAGCATGGAACAAGCCCGTTCCATGGATCACATTACCAAGTTTGTCCATCTTCTGTTGGCAGGAGGCAGGCAGGTACATACCTACCTAGGGCCTAGATGGTAGGTAAGGTACTCGTATGCAGTAGCAGTTGCCCCATTGTCTTTAAACTTCCTAGGGGGAAAGAAGACACGGGACCGCCAAGCCAAGCAACTATCAGAGAAGGGAGTTAGGATGGATATCGATAGAGAAAAATTTGGTCGATCACTTCTGGAGGTTGTAACAGAATTTGATACACAATGCACCCAAGAATGTGAGGCAGCATCAACATTTTTAGCAATCGGTGTAAGAAGGAACGGCGCCTGCGATGTGTCTCTCGTATTGATTGATATTGGACTTTTCAGCATGCGTCAACACTACTAAGTAAGGTAAGGTACCTAAGGATCGGCATTGACTTCATGGAAGACTGATGGATGAGGAAGGAAAGCAGACTTTATTACTACCTTCCCTGAAAATGGAAAGTGGGAGGAACGGTACTTCTTTCAACCTGACAGTGCTATGATTGGCTAGAGCATCTGCAATTGTAATACCTGACGGCCCTCGGGATTCAAGAATAAACCGGCACCATTTGCATTGCATTATTGCCTGGCAGTCATCAACAAATATTTACTATTATATATTGGAAAGAAGCTAACAATGATATTACTCTGGCCGATGCCTTTCTAAATTGCTAAGAGAGAAAAAAGAAGAAAAAACTCTCGGAGTTTGCCCAGATCATCAGTCGTAAATCCACCATTATACTGTACCTCAACTCTTCTGATCAACGCACCCCTTGGCAGGGAAGGAGGCATCGAAAACCAAGACACCGGCGCTTTCCCACTTGTGTCATTGGCTTCCGTCTAACCTCACCACCATTGGATCCCTAGCAGCAGCAGCTGTTTCTTGACTGAGAAGCCCTGTCGCTTGTCACTTGTGCACCAGTCAGCCGCCATTCTCATCCCCTCAACACTATCAAAAACGACCCACCATGACCATCTCATGCCCACCATGGCCTGTAACGTCCGTCACCCAAAGACTGGCCACCCCCACAGACCGG